TAAGAGGGGGAAACATAAGCTTCAAACAGTTTGTAACCATAACATTTAAATCACAGAGTGACAGATACCCACCCACACCCACTACAAACTTCAAACACATCCACACACTCACACCCTCCTCCACACCCGATACACAATCACACACAAACACCCACAGCCCCCCACAAAAGCTATACCTACCCACCTATACCTCCCCACAATATACAAGAGCAAGACTTCATTTTGAGCTATTTGCAATCACCTCTATATATACACAAGACAAATGCACACAAGTCAGGATAAAAACAGTTTTTGAAATAACATTAAAATACGTTATTCTAGATGTTTAATTTTTAGTATACAATTTCAGTTTTTTTCCAGCTCCAAGATGGCAAACCTCCTTGCCAAAAGGAGTACTTCTGAGCAAGGGGAGGGACTTCCAGTGGCAAAGATCAGGGGCAGGATCCAGTCCCAAGATGGTGACCAGAGGGTGGGGGATCTGTCAAGGGGTGGAGCAAACCTTGCAGCCCTTGACAGCTCACCAAAACTTGTTACGCAGCCCTCAAGCCCAAACTCAGTAAGCAGCCCTTGAGCTGAAATAATTGCCTACCCCTGAATCAGACTGTACCTTTAAGAACTATGTAATCCCTTGATTGCAAGGGATTATTTCCAAAAAGCTGGTATTCCCAGACGGCTTATAAATCAAAAGATATTTTGTTATATGCATAAGCGTTATATGCATATGCATGTATGTATACACGTATAAACACACACACACACACACACACACACACACACACACACACACACATTCCTCAGGCTCGCACTGTTTAACATCTTCATCAGCGACTGGGACGGGGGCGTAAAAAGCACCCTGTTCAAATTCGCAAACGACACTAAGACGTGGGGGGAAGTGGGCACACTAGAAGGGAGGAATAGGCTACAGTCAGACATAGACAGGTTACAGGGGTGGGCGGATGAGAACAGGATGGGTTTCAACACTGACAAGTGCCAGGTGCTGCACTTGGGGAGGAAGAACCAGTAGCATACCTACAGGCTGGGGAACTCCCTTTTCGTCAGTGCAGAGGCAGAAAAGGATCTTGGAATCATTATTGATGCCAGGATGAACATGGGCTGGCAGTGTGAGGATGCGGTCAGGAAGGCCAACCGCACCTTGTCACGCATCCACAGATGCATCTCGAGCAGGTCCAAGGAGGTGATCCTCCCTTCTATGCGACACTGGTCAGGCCACAGTTGGAGTACCGTGTCCAGTTCTGGGTACCGGACTTCAAGAGGGATGTGGACAACATGGAGAGGGTCCAGAGGAGGGCCACCTGCATGTCAGGGGAGGCAGGGCAGGCCCTATGAGGAGAGGCTACAGGACCTGAACCTGTTCAGCCTCCACAACAGAAGGCTGAGGGGGGGGATCTAGTGGCCTGGTACAAACTAGTCAGAGGGGACCAGGAGGCATTGGGGGAGTCCCTGTTCCCCTGAGTGCTACCAGGAGTCACTAGGAATAACAGTCACAAGCTGGCAGAGGGTAGATTCAGACTAGACATCAGGAGGCGCTACTTCGCGGTCAGGGCAGCTAGGATCTGGAACCAACTTCCAAGAGAAGTGGTGCTGGCTCCTACCCTGGGGGTCTTTAAGAGGAGGTTAGATGAACACCTTGCCGGGGTCGTTTGACCCCAGTACCCTTTCCTGCCATGGCAGGGGGTTGGACTAGATGATCTACTCAGGTCCCTTCTGACCCTACCAACTACGAAACTATGAAATATGGTGTGTGTACATACACACACACACACTGTGTGTGTACATATATGCATATACACACACATACATATACATCATATATTAGTGCAGCACTTTATAAAGTAACTTGATAAATGCAAATGTAGAAATATAGCAATCAGAACAGAGAACAGTAAAATGAGAATTCTGCTACACACATTCATTTGCATATGGCATTGGGACAGAAGTTAAAACCCTTTCCACCCCCACCTCACTTCTGCTTGCCTGTATATTTTATAACCACACTGTGTTTCACTGCTCTCATGTTGGGGGAAAAAAAATATCAGCCTTCGTGGCTCCCAAGGAACATGATTCAAATACCTGCTTTTAAGTTCTGATCAGATTTAAAAAATTGGAATGGGGCAGAAACAATTAAAAATTGAGCAATTAAACATTTAGATAAAAACATTTTCAAAAATCTAAAAGAATTTTAATGTTCTTCATTTGCATGGAATACCCTGGAGGGGTTATTAAGAAATACCCTCCCACTCTTGCTGTTTGGCTACTGTGGATTATCTGTATTTCACAGCTATCCCACAGGTTAACTGAATCGGAGAGGTTCTTCCTAAGAGTTTTGGATCTCCTCCTGGAGTATGTTCAGCACAGTTCTCCTATTGTTAGTGAGCCAGAAATGGCTGATCTATAGGACTGAGAGGCATCGGACACCAAGAAGAAAGGCCTGAGATTGTGCACCAAAACAAACTTAAGAACCAAATACAGACATGTACATTAAACCACAGGACTGGGTAAGCACTGTAAAGATTTATCAGATCTTCAGATGAATGCAATGGGAACCACACCAAATTCCTTTCCCAGCTCTTCTGTTGATAATCAAGTGTAGACACCCACATATTTAATTTTTATTTGTTAAACTTTCCTTTTTTCCCCCCTTTAGATGCAACTTTGAGCAAGCTCTAACACCATAGCAGACAGGGAAAACATTAACTAGATGAGAAATTTAAATGAATTTGTCATGTGCTGGGTAGCTGGAAGAAGAGAGGGGGAATTCAGCTTCCTTGACCTGTCTCCTCCTCCCCCTCTGTAACTCTAGTAAAAGACTATGGACATTTTTTTTAATGCTATAGGTCTGCTGGATCATTTGTTTTGGGCCAGGAAGGAATTCTTTCCCTGTGGGGGCAAATTACCAGAGGGTTGGTGGATATTTTCACTTTCCTTCCAACATTTTCAGGGGTGTGGTTCAGTTAATAGGCTCTGGAAATCCATATTACTAATTTGGAGGCATATGTACAAGTAATCCTCACTTAACGTTGCCCTGGTTAACGTTGTTTCATTATTACATTGCGGATCTTTTAGAGAACATACTCGTTTAAAGTCGTGTAATGTTTGGTTATAACGTTGTTTGGCAGCTGCCTGATAGTAGGTAACTATGGTGACATAACTGGATTCGCTTAATATGGTTTCACTTAAAGTCACATTTTTCAAGAACACACCTACGATATTAAGCAAGGAGTAGCTGTAGTTCATTGCAACTTTGAGGCAATGTCCAATGAAGGTAAAAGCCAAAAAGACTAGCTTCCAGGGGCATACAAGAGCCACCTCTCCCCTTTGACATCCTTGATCTCTTTCACAGAGGAAGATAACAGGATTTGGGGGAGGTGGGACAGATAGTGCTGCTCTCCATGTGTTTTGTTGATACAGACACATCCTGGCACTTAGATTAATTCTTGGCCATGTTTACATTTACCTGCAGGTTCTGATCAAGTTGGAAGCCCTCACAGCAGGAATTCAGACTGCAATCTACATGCCAGACTTTTGAGCACTTCAGAGTGGCTTGAAAAATTGAAGAGAAGGAAAACTAATTTTATCTACTCCAAGTTCAAATTACTGAATGCATTGTTTCCACATTTAATAAAGACAAACTTAATTGCTCAGTCTTTCCTTTTACATCTTGGAAAAAAAGCGTATTTTTTGCATTCACAATCAGAATCATCCAAAACTCTATGAAGCCTACACTCCAGCTTTACATGGATTCCCAAATTCTTCTCCAGCAAGTAATGATGTCCACTAGTTGATGCACCTTGGACTTACGTTTTCCACTGTTACACTGATTTGATATCACTGACTTTAATGGAGTCACAGTGGCATAAAATCAAGCCCTTGTTTCAAAATGCAAGTCTTGAAGCATTGAGCAATAGGGGTGTGCAAAGCTTTGGGCCACGACTCAATTCAGAGATGATTTGGCTCAATTTGGAGGCCAAATAACTGAATCCAAATCGAAACGGGAGAAATTAAAAAAACTAAATCAATCTGTAGCCTTCAAATTGATTCAGAAACAATTTGGAGATTCAGAAGGCAGTCTTTGAGGGGAACAGAAACTGAAAAGAGGGTGGGGGAGCAGGCGGGGAAAGACTGACATCTGTAGCTGGCCAGTGACTGTGATCTTTCCCTAAGTCCCCTTCCAATCACAGTGCTCTGGGGGAGGGACATAGAAACAGCACATAAGCCTCTGTGTGAAGGCTTTCAGTGCCTTTTGTGAGCTGCTTCCGCCTGAGCAACAGTGTCTGAAAGGTACTGGACTGGCTTGGCTTCCTACATAGCAGGTCTCCTGCTACTTTTTGTTCTTGGAAAGGATTGGATATAACTTACTAACTAGAATCCCTCTATTTATCCTTATCCAATCCATTTCTTTCAATTTATATTTGTTCTTGGTTCAGGCAAGCCTCAGAAGGGGCTAACATCCCTGCTGTTTTCATCCAAATCTGCCTTAACACACACACGACACAAGTTTTGCTTTGAACAGTTTGAGGTGCAGTTTCCCAAAAGTCCCTGCACCTATATCTCCTTGAAACTTGGAAGGCTTCATGCCTCAGAAGGGGCTACCATCCTTGCAATTTTTATCGGCATCAACCAAAAAATAACAAAGTTATAGGTATTTCATAGTTATAGGTGATTTCCCATTATAGCCTATGGCCGAATCTCCCAATCTATCTGAATCAGTGCCTAATCTTCTGAAGCCGATTCGATTTGGGATAGTAATCCAAATCTCTGAATCAAATCACAGTCCTCCAAATCGGCCGAATCCGAATCAAATACTTCCCTATTTGTACAGGGCTATTAAGTAAGTGTTGAATGCACAAAACATCATGTTTATAGATTTAACAGTTCACCTCAGCAAAAGTTATGAAAGAATATGAGTGGCTGTGATGCTCTGTTATTGTATAACCATTATTAACAGTTAAATTATATTTTCCAGTTCATAGCATACATACCAAATACTTCATTATCTTCTGAGGTCTGTTGGGTTAGTTGAGTTGTGTCGGGACTTTCTTTACTTTCTTCTTCCTCCACTTTTGTTTCAGCGTTCTACAAAATAAACACTTTTTTTTAGATATATGGTGCCTCTCACTAAGTGATACAAGTTCCTCAAAGATTTACCCTCAAATATATTCTTTTATCAAAGCAATACCTTCTTGTGTAAATAATGAAACATTTCATACATACATATGTGTGAATATAAAATATACAGAAATTCACCCATGAAATACATGGTTTTCATAGAATACATCTATCTTAGACTCATGAGAATACAATCAGAACCAATTATGGCATCCTTCCATTCTGGATTTGCAAATGGTAGCAAACATTTACTCTGCTGTTTTGTTAAGGATTACTTTATTTATTAAGAACTTCCCCCAAGCTTGTCTATTGGAAACGTTTTGCTTTTCCAGTTAATCCTTCCTGGTCTCTTTTCCTCATTTCTTTAATTTACCTGTTCCATCTTGCCATATACTAAGAGTGAAGACACATGACATGTTCATTATTTGGAAGTAAAGTCAGTTGCTGAATAAAAGTGGAGCAGACACATGATGAACAGCTTCATACTGGCAGAAGTCATTCCACTCCAGGGTAAAGATATTCCTCAAAGTGAGCAGTAACTGTTTCTCAGTGGTGTTGTGCACTGTCTGATTCTGTTTCATCCTGGAGTAGTTTTTTGATCAATACAAAATAAGTTGCCCTGGCTACTTAGTGGACAGCCACTGCCAAAGAACATTCAGAAAGCCAGTGAGGGAGAACAGGTTGTGTAGGTTGTCATTGCTACAGAGTAAATTCCCTATGGAATAAAATCTGGGGTAAATTATCCTGTAGTAATTGTGAAATGGGTCCACACCTGAATATCGACAGCTCTTTGCAGGAGATACCTTTATAAAGTCTGTGTAGTATCTAATATAATGATTCTCAAGGGGTACCTTGAGACCATTTCAAGGGTGCTGCAAGGTGCCACACAATGTTAGCACTGTTAGGATTACAAACATGACTCACATAAACCCAGAGGTTTCAAATACAAATCCACAGCAGTGGTATTTCTGAGTTCTTTGCAACAGAAAAACTGCTCTTATTTTTCTGTAAGCAAACAACAGTGAAAACCAAGACCTGCCATTTTCCATGGAGTACCTTGAATCTATCCAGCGATGCCTCAAGGCTAAAAAGGTTGGAAACCTAGTATACTAAGACCTAAGCCTTTTGGGGGCTTATAGTTGCAACTGTAATACAAATAAACAACAACATTACCAATGCTACCATTAATACAATAGAGATGCCACTGCATTTATTATAATCTCATAATAAGCAATCCCTTCTTTCACAACTGCAGAGTTCCTGGTGGTGCAATCACAGTGGTTTTCTGTCACACATGAAAAGTGCTGGTTTAGGAGAGCATTTATAGACCCTGGGCACTGCAGAGCCCCATCATTATCAGCACTGAATACTTGCACTAATGCTAGCAGACACTTGCAGTCACTCTTAATAGGGGCTTTCTTATTGGCAGCTTCTTCCTTCCAGGCCCTCTGCAGAAATACAAAGTCTGAAGCCATTTTTGTGGTGTGGTCTATTTGGAAAAGGGCACAATGAACCAGTTTGTCAGGGTGTATATGTAGGTGTGATCTGGAGTGGAGACACCACACATGAAGAACAACATTTGTTATTTTGCTCAGGTTTTGTCTGTTACTGCTTGTTTTTTCTGTCCATTTTTGTATTAAGACCAAAAGCTACAGGGGGAATTCTTATCACGTTAAAATCACTGGCAAACCTCCTGTCAATTTTGATGGCTCCAAGTTTTCATCTGTTTGTACAACAAAAACAGTACACAAGGGGCTTCAATCATAATTGTGGCCCTTGGTTGCTACTGAAATAGAACCAAGGAAAAGTAGAGCTGCAAGGGATCTCAGGAGGTCACCTAACCAACAACCCCCACCACCATCTCAAAGGAGGCTCATCCCTGCCTAAACCATCTCATTCAAGTCTTTGTCTAACCAGCTCTTAAATCTCCTAAGGATTGAGACTAAAAACATCTCTAGGTAGCAACAAAGGTTGTTAGTTAGAAAAGTGACTCACCAAATATAGCTTTTTTTTAGGGAGTACTTTTGTTAAAAATTGTAGAACTGGGAACCCAAAGAGAAGGAGAGTAATTCTAGGTAAAATTAGGAAACTTATCAAAACTTGTTCCCCACCAAACACTTCATTTCTAGACTTTGTGTCAGTTCACTTTATAGTGAACTAATCTTCACCTGAAAATTAGTTTAACAGGTTTTCATCTGCTGATGTAATAGGAGCTTGCTGTGCATTTAGTTTCCATGCCAACCTCATTGCTATATGCCTCACTGGCTGCTAAGTAATAATAATAATGACAATAAACTTCCAGTTTACACAATTACACTCCAGCCTAACCAAAAAATTAAACACATCAGGACATAAGCCTGAAAGCACTGAAAGGATAAGATGCAAGGGTGTAGAGAGCTAAATCATTAGTGAAGAAAAATAGCTTAAACCATTTCTAAGTTTCCAGTTTTACTTATATTCCTTTTCTTACTTTCATGTTTCTTGACCTTTTTGACACCTTCCTTTACTTCAACTACTGACTCAGATGGAAGGAAGGTGGGCACAAAATTCTCTCTTTAATACTACGAAGACTGTATAGGTTAACCAGAAGGGGGTTTCTGCTTACAAATACAGATACCAGTCTCCTGCAAGTCTATAACCACCACCTCAACTCCTACACTATGGCAGTTCATGTCACAAGCCGATATTACCATGGAATATATCCACCCAGTTTCTAAAAATTATAGCATGAGATCTAGATAGAAATTACCACATTTATGATTTGGTGTCCCCCATTTCAAACTTCAGGAATTTCACTCCCAGGATGGAAGAAGACTGGAGAAAACTGAAGAGCACTGCCATTTAAGTTCTTAAAACATAAATCTGAGGTGGCTAACATTTTCAAAATAATTCCCTTTTAAATGCCAGCATAAACCAGGCATGTAGTCAGATACCCAAAAGAAAGCATACAAATACCTATATGATCAAAAATATGTGGGGAAGAATGGAAAATGACTGATGCAATACTAAGTATTTCTGGAAAGGACTTATTAAGATACAGGGAGAGAAAGGAAAATGAAACATCTAAAGCAGTGGTTCTCAGCCTTTTTAGACTCAAGACACATCTCAGAAAACGCCAGCTCTTAGGGCTTTTTTATATGTGTAAGCGCTCAGCGCTGCGACGCATATAATTGTATAAGTGGTGAAATGCGCGTCAGCATGCAGAAAATGGTGGTGGTACACTTCTGAACTAAACCACCAAAGCAGCAGAACAAAAAGGTATGTGTATAAATGCCCTTAGCTTTTACTGTTTCTTGTCTACAGAAAAATAATATAGTAATTATTTTGTTACAAAGAACTAAGAAAGACCACAACAGGTCAGAAATGTTTTTGACACTATAGGATGCTTATATACACGTTGGGGGGGAGGGGCAGGGGAAGAAGGGTAAGGTGTTTTAAGTAGAGTGGTTCCCAGAGAGACGCTCCAATCAAAATGCCATGGCATCACGTGTATTAACCGCCACATGCTTAAAAATGGCCATGTGATGTTTTAAGTAGAGGCTTTTAGGCCCCAATTTATAAAAGCATCCCTCTTCAAGAAGTGTGCTTAAATACCTACTCAACATTAAACATGTCCTTAAATCGTAGTGAAGCCAATTTCAGGTGGAGTGTCAACATGTACATTTGCACCAGTTTAAATTTACTGAGCAGTAAATTACTGCACAGTAAGCAGGAATAGACCAGCATCGACACATGCAGGTGTTACAGTGCGTTAACACTGTGTGGGGACTAACTTTAGTTTCAAGTCAGTCCACACGCGCAGTATTTCTGTGCAGTAAGGCATCTAACGTGTATTACTGTGCAGTAACTAATCGGGCACAAATTTGATACCTGTATCATGCAGGTATCAAATGTACACCCAAGCTGATGTCAGTTGCCTTTTTTACTGTGCAGTACGGGCATGCATGTGCCCATACTGCATAGTAATTTCAGTTACTGTGCAGTAAATATGCATGTCTAGATGTGCCCGGATGTAACTAAATACTTTCTGGAGTAGGAATGGGCTTCAGACATATGATTAAAAACTTTTGTGAATCAAGGTCTTAATTTTTTGTGGATGATCATGGAAAAAATCAAAGTGGGCATGAGCCATTCTGCTGTGATAAGGGGAGGGAACCCACCATTATGTGAAAGATTTCTGAGACAAAAATTGATCTACCTTTGTTATGTCCTATCTGGAGTAGTCCATAATTCTACAAACACCCTAATGAATGAATCTATCACATGTGTACCTATAGAAGAAAGTAACCAAAACCCTTAAATATACTTCATTTACATTCAAATATGAGAACATTTTCTATTTAAAAAAACTGTTCAGATGATCTTTCAATTGTGAAAGTTGTAAAAATAAGTGTATATATGCAGCTCTAGCTTTCAGTAAGCATTTATACAAAATAAAAGCTGCACCAGATCCAGCCTTAATTCTTGAAGAACATTTTCTTAAGTTTCCCATATCAGCAGTTTTTCCCCCCACTAATTTCTTCTCCTGTACTCAGCAGCCATGAGACTGTGCCCTCCCATGATCACACATCAATATCTATTCACGTAAAGAAACATAAAATTCTTAACTTTTACCAACAATGTCAGTTAGCTACTGTTATATAATTATTAAACGTTTGTACCCACAGCCCCAGTAACTATAATACTGATGCGACATTCTTGGATTTTTTCATTTTTTTTCTGATACTATATCATCTGTTAAGTGAATGTAAGTACAGATGTTTGAAAGTTTATATGCTGTTGCTATCAACACAATGAAGATACTCTTTTGATTGCTGTAAATTATGAACAGAATCATTCTGTAGCGCTACAGTAAAAGGCACAGACAAAAAAGGTGTAGTTCAGTACTGATACACCAGCTGCAGTCTGCTTTTTCTAGAAATGTAAGGATTTCTGGAGATGAGGAAGCTATCTGCACCATTTTACTG